TGCTTTAGAAGTAATGAATGCCTGTACTTAAAAAAAACATTTTAAAAATTTTTAAACTGAGTTCCACTTTTAGATGTATTATTCAAAGAAGAAAATAATATAGTTTTTTTTGCGTAAGTTCTTAACTGATGTAGGTCGGTTTTTTCAACATGACTGACTTTACTTCTAAATAAAAAAAATGTCCAAGCTTAATTTATTTGAACAATTCCACTTTTATCTATATCATTCAAGAAATATAGAAATTCCTTGCACATTATCTCGCTGAAAAAGTAAACTATTAATGAAAATAAGGAACATTTTCAATGATAATTTGAATAATTCCACGTACTCTCAGGTACTCTGTCAGGTATCTTCCCCTAAGCAGGCAGACTCGACACACTAATGTCATTGAGACGACATTATGATATTTTTAGATCTTTAAATATTTAACATCTCTAAATATAGGAGGCAATTATCACGCTGCTTTTTATAGAGATTTGAGTTTGATTGGCGTTTCCACTTGTCAGCGGTCCGTTTGAAGTCGCTCTATGACTAATGGTTATGGCCTAGTAGTGTAGTATTTTCCTCGTTTTGCAAGCAGCACCCTTAAAAGATTTCAATACCTGCTGTTTAAATATTTGATATTAATCTGTTTGTTTGGGTTTCCTGTGTGTTATTTGAAATTCCATAATTCGTTTGGATATCGGAAGTCAGTAGATAGTTAGGATCTGTCTAGTGCATAAGCCCGGTTCAAAATTATCTTAGATTGAAATTTCTAACATGAAGACGTCGAGCTTTACCAAACGGGTAGAAACGTCATGTAGGAAATAGCATTGTGTTTATAACAATAAATGTATTAGGTAAGTAAATTGTTTGTACACCCATGAAGTATTATACCTGCTTCGTGGTTCATAGATTCGCCGCCATTGCAAGGTGGCAAATGCTTGAAGAACTTCCTGTCTTGTTCCTCCGAATTTTCCTTTTCTTTTCCTCCCTCATTCACTCCCTTTTTGCTTTTTTCTCATTCTCGTCTCTCTCTTCTTTCTAAAAATAGCAATTTCTTTTTGTTTTATCTATTTTTATTCATTTTTTYCCAAACGACAGTCGTAAGATTTCTTGAAAAGAAACGTTTTACTAGCAACAAAAAGTTTTGAATAAATTCTTAGACGAAATTGAAAAACAATCACGCTTTTCTCTGATTCGTACAATCCCAGCTACATTAATATCGAAAATGACCTCAGTCTAACTCTTAACAGGCAAACTGACAAACGACGTTGAAATATTCACATCTGGAGATTCACATTCATTTTTTGATAACTATAGTCGTGTGTACTAAGCAACACTGTACCAAGGACCACGACAGGTATTTATGTTTTACAACCAAACGAGTTATTTATTATCATAGTTAATGTTAATTATGGATTGATATGAAAGACACAGAGTGGGGTCCACTGATTGAAGACACGATAAAGACTAAAGGTTTTGTAAAAAGGTATCATTAGCCAGTTCAAAGGGTTTTCAAGTGACATTATGTATTACCTTTGATGTTGCCGAACCATCAATACAACTGGGTCCTTAACACGTTAAAAAAGGTTCTTCACAAAAAAAAAAAAAAAAAAAAAAAAAAAAAAAAAATCAAATTTGAGAACAATTACCCACACATCCTGACCAAAGGAATTTGGATCGAAAATTTTGAACGTTGTCTGCAGATATTAAATTTTTCTCCAGTTGTCATTAGCTAAAAAATTATATAAATAATTATACAAAAGTACTATTGAGCTGACAAGTTCTATGACAGCCAGCTTATTTATGATTTGCACTTGGAAAAATTGGGTAAAATTCAAATTTTACGCCTGGTTTTGCTAGTATCATAATTCAGAGATTAGACCAATTTTGATACTGATATTCTATAGAAGAATAAGATCAACTTGAAAAATATCAATACAGAAGAGTTTGGTTCGGTGCCGGCGGAGCCCAAAGTAATTTCAGTTAGGTGGGACGTAAGTCACTGCGGATATTAAACGTTAGGTATTGATTGAGCTAACTTTTTCAACGGTATTGCCATTCTAGGAGTCATTTTAATTTCTGAAGCATAAATTATACTACACTATCATTTACTATCGTCGTTAAGTGTAAATATACAGGTGATCATTGAATAAAATCTCACGCGCTGATTGGTTGAGAAACTAAGATTATCACACGATAATCACCTAAGCGATAATCGAAAATGGCGGCCAGCCGCTTTGTTGTTTTAAATGTGTCTTTTATCTTCTTTTTTTTCTTCTTCTTCTTTTTTGAAAGAATCACCTGCTGTATTTCTACTAAAACAATTATTCACCTCAGGCTCAGTGAATATCGGGAATAATAACCTCAACTTCGTTTCGGTTATTATTACCCGATATTCACTTCGCCTTCGGCGAATAATTGTGAAACATAGAAATTCTTATACAATATAATGAGTCGTAATTACTTGGCAAACTATATGCAGTCGGATCTTTGAAGTGCGAAAATGAAGTATAAAGAGCACAAAATTTGCTTTAGTTTTTGCTGGCAATTGAGATTGTTAAACTGTATTGGTTAAGCCGTGCAATATCGGAGATATAGATGAAACTTTCTTTCATTATTCGTTCAAATCATTTATAACTGAAGCTAGCTCTTTGTATAGTAGTGTAGAGCTCGTTCTTTGGTTTTTTATTTTTGGACTCAAAAGGACACACAGTTTTAAAATAAAAATGTCTCTTGAAAAAAGCAAAAATTTGATGCCATTTTCATGAAGTCGAGAAAGACATTTTTCTCCAAAATTCAAATGTTTTCACATGCATTTTTCAGACCGGATTTATTTCTGCCAACTCCTCGTTTATTCACAAAAGATCTTAATTTTTAATTTTTAACACATTTCAAAGAGCGATTAAAAACAAAGCGCCCGGAAGCCAAACAAAAATAGACAGAATCCACTTGGCACGTTCTCGTTCATCTAACGAGACAAAAACCATGAATAGAACAAAAATAAATGTTTAGAAAACGTCTATTAGTATTTAACAACTATTGACCTAAAATACAATATACGATAGAACCATTAGATCAATAGGAAAAGTACACCCTAATTGAAGGGCTTAAGTAGAAAAAAAGGTGTTAAGGAAAGAAAAAATAGATATTGGTAGACATATAAAACTTGTTTATCCTCGTTTCCTTAGCAACAGCAATGGTTTTCGACCCATATTACATTCAGTTATAAACTCATGTACACATATGCCACCGTACTGCTAATGTTATTTACGACTTGGCGAGAGAAAAAATCTCAACAAAGTGTGACGAGACTTTTTCCATGATTTTGCAGAAGAAGACGACAAATACCATGAATATACAGGTAGTCTACCCCAGTATTGACGCGTTAGAAAACCGGTATATAATGTTTCTTAGGCTGAAAATAAGCATTTAGTTTAACTAAAAATAGCGAGTACCGGCTCTCGCCGTTTTTAAATGCAATTGCACAATCTTGAGTAGAATCAAATCTATCTGATTATTTCTATCGAGTACTGATTTCTGGATCTGTTTAGGGAAAGTCTAAAAAGGGCTCCATCATTCGGCCTGTTGCACGTCCTCACCATCAATCGGCTTAGGTCACAAATACTTTCATATCAAATTTAGTTGTTGGCAGAGGACAGCCGCTATAGCTGCAGCTTTTTCTAGGCTACTTCTGATACACTTATTATTTTAACAGACTCTAGTTCTAATTCATTTAATCAGCAAGTATCTCAATATTAGAGCACTAAGATGAAAGTGAAACGCTGATGTGTCGTGCTGCACTTTTAACGAATGCAAAACTTTTTTCTGCTACGGAAAATCATTCGTATATTTTATATTAGGAAGTTACATCCTAAATATCTATCTATCTATATCAAACTACCTATCTCTCCATAAAGAGTAAAGAGAAATCGTGTCACTTCACTCCACACCACATTAATATTCAAAATATTTTCATTATAGTTTGTTCAAACTTTCCGAGACTCCTTTACCTGGAGATTAACAAGCAGTCACCTGACAAGGCACCGCATTCTTGTGTTTTCAGATAGTTAAGGTGGCTGCCTACTTTTGAACGTTCGATTTGAGCCCACGATGTGCGCGCGCTCAAAAACCGCTGAAAAATCTACAAGATTTTATTGAAGAACCATACGCGTTTTGAGCTTCAACAGGGCAAAACCCTCAAATTTTGCACGGGACTCTATATTTTTTGATAGCTCATTCGAAAAATCTCCTAAAAATCAAGGTTATATCAACATTTTAGGAAAAGTTTAAATCAGGAACACGCGGAAAAAATAGATTTTTGTAGGGATTTTTGTTCGACTTTATGAGATTTTTAAGAGCACCGAAACTACAAAATATGACAAATCAATGTATCTCTCTGTCTTTTTGTCGAAAATATCCATGTATTATTGTAGATTGATTGACTAGCCTTCGTTCGTGCAATCATATAGTGTGCAAATAACTATTATCTTATGAATCTTAATTTTTTTTCTAATCACTTCCGGTGGCGCAATTTTTATTCCAAAAGCTCGTGCGTAGGCTCCCATTAAATGCTGATTATCTCGAAAACGAGCTCGGGACACCCTATTTTTCTTTCCAGATTTGGAATCAGCATTAAATTTCAATTCGGAAAATCGAAGTTTTAAGAAAAGCTTAAATCAATTTCCAAAAGTAGGCAGTCACCTTAATAGTAAAATCATCACTTGGTCAATCTCAACACACTATAGAACATAAAAGCTGAGACCGATGTGGTACATGGGAAGTACGTAAATGAGAAGTATGGGGTGTTCATTAAATCATTGCACGACAGAGAACATTTTTCAAATCGACTGCCGGTGTATTTCAAATGAATACATCAGAGGATAATTGTCGTTTCCAAGGATACCTTTCAGTCTCAGCTCCTATCTTCTATGTTTTTAATCCGACAAGGATTTTGCAATCGAGTGTAGAGCCACGATCCACTACTTAGACTCTGTTTTTTCAAGGGTGCCAAAATGGGACCCAGACTGCAGCCACGCTCTCTTGTAATTTTCGCATGTTAATATTCTGATACGGCACTGAAAACAAAAATTATTTTCTTGGATTCATTGAGACTAAACTGAGACTGTTTCAACTTCAACCATAGATCAATAAAACGATAGATCTATTCTATCGTATTTTCCTCTATTAGGCCTCAAATGTTCAATAAACTTCGCAAAAGCGAATCAGTGCAAACGAATAAGTTATTCAAAATTTGACCAACAATGCATAGCGCGCCTAGATTACGAATCACGTGATGAAATTAAAATCATATAACACCCACCAAAGCAATACTTTTCGTACCTTCTCCAGACATACATCAGCCTTATCCTATGGCTTTGTACAGCCGTGTACTTAATCGTAACCTCGACATACGTGCAAAAGACAAACCAAATCACAGCGCAGGATTCGAAGCAGAAGACGACGACAACCACGACAAACCTCGAGAGAACACGACGAAGTGTTTGTTCGTGCGCAGCTTGTAATGGCGGAAGACGAACCATGGCGAGTAGAATACCATTTGGGGCAGCACGCAAGGTAGGAAAGATATCACATGTTATAAGAGCTGAATAGCGTATGCGCATACGTCAAATTATTGAATTGCTGGACAGGGCGCTGGTTAAATATTTTATCACTGGAAAAGAGGTCTCTAACCAAAGCCGAAACTAGCTTTTTTCTGGTTCCTGTTTAATTATTATGGCTTTTCTCTCTTTCTTTTCTCTCTCTCTTACTCAACCAATCAGAAAACGATGACAGTTGCCCATGGATTCGCTAAAAATTCTCGGAGACTAAAAGGAACGTGAGCTCAGGGGAAGGCGAAAACAACGCTCGAAAAATGTTTGAGAAATGAAAGAAAATCTTAAATTCCTAATTTCTACTACCTTTTTACTCAGGTAATGAACTTTCTGAAGCTGGCCAGCCAAGGAATCAAGTTTACATATCGAAGAAAAGGGTTGATGTACTGTAAGAATGGCTACATCTTGAAGATAATGAAAGATGGTGTGGTAGGAGGTACAACACAGTACACCGATGGATTGTGTAAGTAAATCATGCAGGTCAGCGGATTATCGTTTCCTGGGCATGCGTTCCTTTTGGTTTCCATCAAAAATGTGGTTGACCAGAACTTCTGTGCATTCTCTAATTCTTAGTCAAACTTAGTTGAAAACGCTTTGCTCAAACTTCAGTTATTGCAGTTATCTTCGTCAATACAGTATCTTGAGTTGACAAAAGTGTACTCACGAAATTTCTTGTATATTTGGAGAAAACGAAATGAGCATTTCTTTTCCCACTAAGAATACCTGGAATTTTACCGTCAAAACAGCTCAAGCTCGCCCACCCCCCACCCCCAC